TCATTCAACCTGTTCAATACCGTGCGTGTGTGCAAGACATTCTCCTCTTTCATTTATTCTTAAATAACTCCAATCAAATGATTGAAGCACCATTCGAATCAAGAAAACTGACTATAAGGCTATCGATTTTGTGTAACATTATCATCGACAATCGGAATTCTGCTATCCTGCTAGAATTATTGAACAACTGAAGGAAAGATTCAAACAGAACTGTGTTCAAAAAAACAACCATTTTGACGTTCATCGTTTCATGTGATCAACTTAAAATGATGTTATGGTTTGCACAACTATTGCCACTGCGACTGACCACTTGATTGCGGGTCAGAACACAGCTCTTAAATGAACAATGCAATCACCGATATAAAGAAGCTCGGTAGGGTTTTTGGGCTGAAAGATAAGCATAAACAGGAGAAAATCCTGCTAAACACCACCCACCCACCCCCCGTTCCCCGTTATCTGTGGTCGATAAGACTACATTTGAATAGATCTAACTCACAGGAACGAATCTGTTCAGGTGGTGATCCTTGCAGGATATGAACAAAGGTGAAAGTTCCAAAAACAAATCGTAGCAGAATGGACGTTGAAGATTATGGAAAACAAGACAACAAAGCCTCAGTGACAATTCTCCCTTGCGTTTTTTGAGCGCATATTACTGAAATTGCTATGTATGTATGTGAAGTTGTAGAACAGAAAAGTGGTTCAACTGAGGTCCAAACTGACGATTTTGAACGACTGACATATTCTTGTACACCCCCCCTCCCGCAACATGTGTTGTAATTCTGAAGACAGAATTTAATACCAAAGCGATAGACCTAATCATCATATCAGGCTTCATGAAAATAAGCGAGTTAGGTCTGACTCAGAGTGGAAAACCAAAGGCGGTCCCCATCGAAGAACTACTTGCTTTCTACCGGTTTGGAGTAACACTCGTTTTTTCTGATAGGTTCTTAAAACTCAGGGAATAGTCTAGTTTTTATAGTCCCAGTCAGTTCTACTCAATGACCTCATATGACAATATCCTGTGCTGTTGACTGAAATCTCCTTGTGCAAAACGCGGGTGAGATTTTTATGAATCGCACAACTGGTCGAACACAAAATCACACTGAGTGTTGAATGAGAACTGCATACGTGTAGAGGAGGCCTATCAACTGCTTGGTATAAAAAAACATGGACGGTGTGACAAGGTGGATGGAGATGAGTCTTTGACAGTGATCTGAACAATGGGTACGTTACAGTCCGTACTTGCTCCCCTTCCCATGATTGGTAATGGATTTAGCAGTCACATCTATTTGACAAGCCTGATTTGTTGTCAGGGCTATTACCGGTGCATCATCACACCAATGTGTGTACAATCTTGTCTGCTGAGGACCAGTCAAAAAACGCCCAGTCGATCGACAATAATCTCAAATGCATCTGTTGGAAAAATTCTGATGTGGTAGCACAGTAGAACGTAGGATTATCAGCATAAATCATTGCTCAATTTAGATGGGGTTGAATCAAACCTAAAACTATCAATTAATATTATTGGTGGCGTTAGCAGTCTTAGTATTCGAGGTAGCGGTCGGCGTAGTATTCGTCGTCGTAGTAGCAGCAATAGTCGTGGTGGAAGTAGTAAGAAATGAGTGAAGCCTCAAATTAAATAATCTGTCTTTCATAGTTTGATTGACACAAACATGGCAAACTGACTGCGCTGGGGAACAGATAAAATTGCAAATTACTCAATAAATAACAGAAGCAGTTATTGTCCTGTTTTAATTAACTAACCAGTGGATACTTTGTGTGTCACATATTTAAAAAGCACGCTAAACAACCCATATCCAGAAAGTGTTAATAACTTCTTAAAAATATAAATAACGTGTAAATCGGATCTTGTCGTTAAAAATCTTCGGCTATAATCATTCTGTTTGTATTTTCCATTGATTGCGGTGATTCGCAACTAATCTATTTAACGAATAGTTTTTTTGTTCATAAACAGAGAGAATACAGTCGCGGTTGTTTGACAGTCCATTCTGCCAGTTCCTCTTCCCCAAATCGCGCTTGATTTGTCTGAACTCGGTATCTCTCAATTCTATACTGGTTTTCCATTTTATGATACACGGCGAGTATGGTGTACGTTGAATTCAGGCGATTGGTAAGACTGTCTAATATGAAAACCCCGTACCTGGCCAATACGCTATCGCTCTCCGTTTTCACACCCAGTTGTTGGGTCCAAATTTGTTATAGCACGATCACGTCGGAATATGTATTATATACGTGATGAGCCAAACATTGGCGACGAGGACACATGCAGAATTCAGTGTGTTCCATGACCAACAGAATAAATATCATAGGAGGGAGTGTACAACGCACATTGAGCCAGATACTGTTTCGGGCTGTTTTTAACGAAAATTAAAAGCTTTTTTGTGTTTTTCGTGCGATAATGATAACTAAGCGACAAACAATAAAATTTGTGGCTGTCGGACGGGGTAGAAAACCTATATCAATAATACAAACGGTCGTACACACCCACACAAACACACATCACTGTCTGTCTTTCGTCATGCAATAGGTGAACGAGCTGCGATATGAAACCGGGTAAATTGAGATTTGGTTAATGATCCGGAGTTTTGCGTGATACATATTCGTATGAATTGATTAGCACCTCTTCCCTCTCCATCTACTTTCCATTCGGTGCACCAACGAAACACTCACCCCTCGATCCCCCCTGCTTTATCTATTTCATTCGTCATAACATTTTTTGTCAGATCGCGCTTTCGAGGAAAGATTGATAAACACACATTTCCAATGCCACAACCGAATCACGCTTTCCTGTTGTCTGGGAACAGTTTCATGGGAAAGACTGAAATATGGCCAACAGGAATACACATGATGAGTTGCCGCGTCGCGAGTTAATTGATAGTGACAGATCAATTCAAATGGTACCCTGGGTTTTGTTTTCTGCTTTCTGGATGTGGGCGGGGCTGGGCGGCGGTGGTGGTGGCGATCTATCTGTGTTCTCCTTGACTCCCATTCACCCAAGTGATCTATCCTCGCACTCCCTCCCTCTTTTTGTCACACACATCATTTATCCACTAATGTTGCTCCACTCTCCCTGGTCTTTGTAACGCACTCAACGGAAGGTGATCTCAAAACACGTCGCCAATTATTTCGATCTCGTGCGCGCGCTCTCTCTCTCTCTGTGATCAAATATATGGCAATTATGTGCCCGGGTAATTGCAAAACGTTCGGAATATCAACATCCGAAATGGATGAGGGGAATGCGAGAATGGGAGAGTGGATCCGCTTGCAAAAACAGGTCATGGGCTGATCACGGTGATGATGACGATGAGATGACGGATGAATATGAAGGATACAAACGTCGCAGAAACTGTTTTCTTGATTAGCGGCCTGGTCCTAGTGACGTGAAACGAGTGAATTACAGATCTCCTTAACTAGTCACGTGATCAGTAATTCATGAATCGGCACTGTACTGGGTTGTGATAATTTCCATTCATGTTCGGTACTGTAAAATAGGTTCATTGTGTAATCGACTATGTTTCACACATAAATCAATCAGGGAGACAAACGTACCACCGCGGATGGATTCCAAAGTTATCGCTCAGTGTTTGAGGAAACAGCACCAAGATTTATGTTCGTTATGTCACAGCTGACAGACAGTATACCTTTTGAATGTTTTCGAGTGTGACAAGCTGATAAGGGTAAGGTGTCATATCATATAACGGCTGCCAGTATATTCGCACAATGCGGCTGCACACAGATAATCTCACTGGTTGATAACTAATACACAAATGCCGTTCGTTGCCGAAATGTTTAGGAAATTAATTTTCAAAAAAGCTTGTACCCGCAACAAACTCGCAAAGATGGATTGTGCTATATCAAGTAAATGGAAAATGAAAAACGGTCTGATCAGCTGCCCGGTGGCGAAATGGGTAGCATGCTTGCGTTCTGCTCATGAAGTCCTGGTTGGTTTCTGACACTTTCATTCACATATTGTGACAGAACTTTCACCGTGGTCGTTCAGATCACGTGGGTTTACCCAACGCCAACAAAAACATGATATATTTTACAATTCTATCAAAGTAATAGGACAATTTTCCGAATTTTTCTTCGACCATTTATCTTGGATTTCTCTCAGCGTGTCCACGTTATGTACATAAATTATTTTAACAGCGGTGTTGAACCGCTTATGATTGTTTTGAATGAAAGAATGAACCCATACTCTCAAATATCCTTTGTTTCGTGACTGAGACCATTAAACTAAGGCCGGAGATTGGAAAGAACAATGCAGAAATGGTCTTAGTCCGTTTGAACCCGCCAGCACGGTGAACATTGACTGCGAAAGTTGTATGATTGCGATGAGCTGCGAGTGAGACGCAGATTTCTTCTACTTATCATTGTATTGTAAATCGTACGGTCGAACGAAACATGGAGAATATCCGTAACAAACTTGTAAAGTCGGATTGTGCTATATCGTGAAGAATCAAAGTAAAACAGCCAGATCAACCCGCCTCCCTCGTTCAGCCAAGTGCGTCGCATACAAGGGTGCATCCTGTTAGGTATTGGGTTCACCGTTCTTACGTTAGTCGATGAATTCGTACGTCGGAAATCATCGTGTAACGTGGTTTTCGGTACTATTTGTCCTCATATTCTGACTGATGAGCTTCTCAAAACCCAGTAGGCGAAGGTGTCTGGCTGAATACCTTGCGATGCGCAACAAATCATCTGGTGCTGTGGGTGAGTAATCCTAATCCGTTGAGCACATTCGTTTCCAACGCACTGTATAGAACCAAAAAATAAACAGTTTAATGAATTCCAGTCGATGATTCATGCCGCTCGATGTGTTCTCTCGGGGTAGAATTAGTCGCACTTTTTCCTTCACATATTGTGTCTTTTGCGCGAAATATTCCTATTTGTTCTCAAAAACTGTCCTCATTTCCCGCTCTCTCTCTCTGTTGCTCTCCCCATCCATTCATTTCGACCACACACACACAAACACAAAGGTACACGCAAATGATGCGGACAGTGAGCCACACGCGAAACCACGCTATCGCCTACTTCACAATGAGCTATTCACCTCGCATTTCGAAGTGGAATCAGAGACCGGTTGGATTGTCACGTATGCGGACATTGACCGAGAAGCGCAATCCATCTACCAGGTAAGATGATCCGAGTGCTGGTAGGTGCTAATATGGATGCTTCGTAGATATTATACGGGACAGCGATTGTTCATGATATACTCATACAGCTCTATTATTCCTGACATTTTCTCGAGACGCTGGCTATGCAAAGTAACCGCATGGCTGTTGGTAATCGTATTTGACAAATGACACGTAAATTATAAGAGGTCTGTGAAAGATAAGACACAGGAAAAAGCGATTGCTCTTTCACTGTCCGCAATTCTGTCTTTCTTTTCAGATTGATCTTGGTTCCTTTGCTCCAAGTTCACTATTTGTCTACACATGCGGTAATCTCATTCAACAAATAAAAACTAGGGTAAAATGATGTCCAAAATGAGACAGGTGGAGATGCCCTAACCACTTCGACTGCGATATCATTGCAATTCACCAAAACACTTGTATAAATACAAACAAATGGCTCAGTGAGCTATACACAATGAGAGAATGTTCATTCGTGATCATTTATAGATAGCACGCTTATGACCTTTCAAAAATTATATCGCTATATTTGGGGGATTACTCATTTCAATCTGTAAATAGTCTGAGACCGATATTTTAGCCGGAACTTAGGTGCGTCGACTGATGCCATGTGACTGGGATCTATTCAAAATTGTTTGTTCTTTTCCGCTGCGCCCTCGTTTCGGATAAATAATGCAACACGATCAATACATGGGTTTATTTAATGGAATATAGTTGAAACAGGCGAATTCTTTTTCACTCAGATGATGAATTGAACCTCTGAAGATATTTTATTTTCTGGATTTAAGACAAGTGGGTGATTGCTGATTAATTTTAATCAAATACTGAGCAACAGCTTGATACATTCGGTGGGTTCACAAATGATGGTAGTTTCAATGATGACAGCGGTGGTGATGCCGGTGCATGAAGCCAGCTGGGCTAGGTTGCGATGGGACTCGTTGAGGGAAAACCGACAAGGAACATTGAATAGCTCTTTGATCGTTGATCTTGATGATCAGTGATGTTTGGCCCTCTTGTGTCCCTGGGGGGAGGGACTCGAACTAGAAACATTTAGCGTGGGAAAGCACGCAGTCAACGTCCAACACCTGGATCAAATGACATCATCGCTTGCAGAATACTGCACTTGACTGAGCCGATTTGATTATTATGGACACCTGGTAACACTTGTGATTCGTATGGGACTTGATTGCGTTTTTCATCAATCAGTTCATATCAATTTTTAACGATTGTGGGGAGTGCATGAATCCCAAGGGTGTGCAATTCGCAATTAAAAGTCACAAGACGACCGTGCGTAATACAAGAGGCTTGTGAAAATCGAACCGACATATCGAGGCTCAACATTATCCAGTCAAGAGGCAAGTTATTTCTGTGAGTCAGAAGATTAAATGATGTCGCAGTTACTGTCGGTCATCAAATGTAGTTGTACACTGTGGTTCATCTGGTCCGTTTCAATTTGTGATGAGTGAGGAAACAGTATCCGATTGTTCATGTTGCCCACATACACACACACACCCACGCACACAGGAGGCTTGCCACTGTTCGATCGGTTTCTTCACATGCACGACTGACTCGAAGTTTAGTGAAGCGATTAGAGATGCGAAGAATAAAACAACGCCCTACTTGTTGTTATTCTCTGTGATCCAATATAAAGCACGCAATAAATGAGCCTCGAATGAGCACAGTGAGAATGTGAGGCCCGGTTGGTGATGGTGGTGGTGGGATTGAATGCCGACCGTTCAACGAGTTGCGACGTCTATCGTTGGCCTGTGACATTCAACCGCGGTCCTCTCCAATGGTAGAGACTGAAAGATAAACACACATGGGTTCAAACCTCACCTTTGCTTCTTTTTATTATCAAACACCGATGGCTGCAAACAGTTAATGTGATTAACCGAGTCAACTTATTCTCTTTCAAAGTTATCCTCCATTAAGTATGTGCAGATTATATTTGTTTGTAAGGGATTTTTTCTTTCATTTCGAAATGTGCCACCTATTCGCCTTTTCAGATGATTGATGGTATCTCAGGGCCCAACTGTGGCATAATTAACAAGGAAAAGTAGACAGATCTAAGTGTCTGTAAAACGGGGGGGGGTACTGATTTCGTTTCTCTTTTCATGCCAAGAGTTGTTCCGACTCATCGCTCTCCCCTCTCCTCCGAGCACTGCCATCACATCTTGTCACGTATACACAGTCAGTAAAACCCTTCCGCCGGGTAGGAACTGTCGCGGTACCGTATTTTTCTTTATCAGCCCCACCAGTCCATCACATTGCGCCCTCTCTGGTCCGTTGAGAAAAACATCCTCAGCTCGATAAGTGTGACCGGTGTCGAAGCGATACCTACGTGCATGCCAAAACCACGATCCGCTTCATATTGTTTTCATTCGCTGAACTAAAACAGTTGTTGTCATCAATAACTTATTATTATCATCAAGACAATCACAAAAGAAGTGTCCCAATGGACCTCCCATCAAACAGACACAATGTGTAGTCTCCTTTCGAATGTCGCACGCCCTGACTCCAACCATACGGTGCGAGAACACAATAGCACATTTGGGCACGAGGACTGTCTGGTCCCTCACACTGTGATGTGATGAAGAGACAGAACAAATTCCCACTGGTAACAGGTTCTTTCCGTGGTTGCTTTTACCCGCTGGGCGGTGGTATGCTTGATTGAATGTGTGCACATGGGAGGTGGTCAAATGCTCTAAATTAAGTGTTTTTGTTCCCGTCGGAGTATCTTCCATCACCATGATGTGCATACACGAGTTGACTTAATAGATACCTTGCAGTAACATCTAAACCGTCGGAACTTCTCTCATCATCAAAGATGGTATCTCTATTAGTGTTTAGAGGACCATATGTTAAAAAATATCCAGTTCGGTGGGACACGAAATGTAAGTGCGAAATGTTTAATGAGTTTATGCATAACTTAGACTGAAAAAGACTTGGTTTCCTAGAATTGAGTTGCACTACTGCGTTAATCGACGGCACTATCTATTAACAGTTCCAGATCTTTCTGTTTACTGACGGATGGAATGGACCAGTTGAATCTGATAAGTCCCGAGTGTGCGGTTTACTGAACGGGCTGAGGATTGTGCGTGAAGTTGCAGTTGCGGATGAGTCCCATGTGGTTAACAGCATCGCACTATGAGAATTATCTGTGGTTCACACTGTGGTTCACATATTATGACCGGAAGTTCTCACTCGGGAAGACACTAGTGATATTGATTGCCAGGATCCAGATGAACAAATAACATCACTCTCCATGTGATCTCACTAGCCTGGAAAATATTCCTCCAGTCAACTAGTATCCGGAAGGTTATCCATCACATTGTATGTCAATTGACCAGTTCATTAATCATTGAGTTGCTGTTATTTTGCAATCAGTATATGAAATATGGATGTTCACACACGCACAGATGTACACACAGCTATACTGGGAGGGAATATTCAATGAAGCGAGCATTATCGATCACTAGCCTGGAGTCATACTAGGAAAAACGAAACGGTTACTTGCCCTGACCGAGAATATGTACGTAAGTGAATAAAATGACATATCAAAGAATTCGTTTACGAGTCCCGTACTAATCTTTCCTCAATTGACAAGAGGTCTCACAGTTTAGACTTAAAATAAATCTTTCGGTTTCCTATGAATGGAATTGATAGTTTGTTCCATTTTATCCAACAGAGAGCCTTGTTTCACGTAAAAGTGATATTTTCCAAAGGACATCTTATCATCCGATGCTGTCATGGTGAGCAATGAAGGGCGAACAATTCACTTTCTCGTCTCTTGTCAAGTTGCTTTGACGCGTTAGTCCAGCTCCTTCATCTTCACGCTGTCATGTATCTCAACCTCGAGCGGATGAATTCAAGACACTTTGAATGAGTCATCTATCATCAGACAGCTACAACCATTAGAGAGAGGTCCGTTGGGTTTCTTATGACAATTAAAGTCACAAGTGATACAGACTCAAACAACTGTGGTGAACAGCCATTATGGGTCCGTATACTATATACCGATGGCTTCTCGTTCCCCTCCATTTGATATTGTCCACATACGCCCATTTTGAATTGTTCCCTGTTTACCAGTCTCTTGATCCTTTAGTGCGATTTCTTTCTCACTCTCTCCCTTCCTCGGGAGATGACAGCCCAAAATCAACCCACCCCTTGGACTCAAACTCAAAAACGAGAAACGTGACGGGCCGAGTAGAAAGCCCCGTTAATGGATATATCATGGTCGATGATAGGCTGGGCAAACAATTAACCGGGCACTGTACACGGATAACATCTACAGATGTGTACAGTCAGTATAACGCGAGTAATGTGAGGGACACCCAGTTTGATTAGTACCTCAGTTTCCTTATGCTTCATTGTTTAATCATTTTTGCCCCGATTCGTTCATTCTCTCCCTCTCTCTCGTTCTCGCTCGCTGTTCTTGATAGCAATCTGTCCAGTTTCTGGACAGCATGGTGTGTGTGTGCTCGGGGGAGACGGAAGACAGAAATGAACCATGGGGCTTGAACAAAATGCTTACAGTGAGGTGGAATACATGGCCGAATAATTGTTCATTCATTCATTCACAGTTCTCTGATGTGGTTTCAGTTTGTAATGGTTATCAGCTCTGATCCCTTGGGGCCATTTACGACAATGGGAATGAAAATTCTGACATACAACACCATTAGGCTCTTTATTCTGACATTGGAAGGGGTGATGGAAGCTGCTAACCTTAGCCGAAGTGGTAATGTACGTACATAAGAACCCAGTGTGAAAGATGTGTTATTGATCCCAGGCTGAATGTGAATCAAGGATTTTGACTTGGGTCGATCAACCACGAGCACAGTATTTTGTGAGGATTGATTTCCACTGTGAAGATGAAACGGCAGGCTTCTAAAGGCACATAGTAACCTTACAATTTCCCAGAAAATAAATTACAAAAGCAATCAGTCCTCATACATTATATTAGAACATGATACGTAACCGCGTTACTTAATGATTGGCAA